GAAAATGTAAGGTAGCTGAAAAGGGTTTATTTTGAAGAGGAACATTTGTGTACTATTAAGGGATGTGTTGTTTGAGTTTAAAGGGCTTCTATGTCATCCTTGTTGTCATAAAAAATGGCACGAAAATCACGAGAGCTCCATACTCTCAATCAAAAAACGTCACAAAAATCACGAATACGGCATATCCTCTTTGAAAATTGTTGCATATCCTCTATCAGATATATGGAAGGAAAATCACAAATGTTCCGTACCCTAAGTCAATTGGTAAGGTTTGAGGCTGACTGGACTTTAGGGAAAGAAATTAAGCACCAAACAAAGATTTTAAACAGAGACTCTGAGGCTATTTTTGACCTTGACCTTTGACCTAGAAACTTCGTTCAATGTTACGCACATCCATTGACCAGTGGCACTCTGTGAGTGAAGTATGAGCCACATTGGACCAAGGAGAGAGAAGATATGCTCTGGACAAGGATTTTTCATATAATTCTGCTATGACCTTAACCTTAGACCTAGAAACATGGTTCAAGGTCACTGCACACCCTTTACCCAAAGGCACTCTGTGGGTGAAGTATGAGCCAGATTTGACTAAGGAGAGAGAAAATATATGCTCCGGACAAGAATTTAAACAGAGAGGCTATTTTTGACCTTGACCCTTGACCTAAAAACTTTGTTCAAGGTCACTGCACATCCATTGACCAGTGGAACTCTGTGAGTGAATTATGAGCCACACTGGACCAAGAGGAGAGAAGACATGTTCCGGCCAAGGATTTTTTTTTTTATATAATTCTGCTATGACCTTGATCTTAGAACTAGAAACATGGTTCAAGGTCACTGCACACCCTTTACTCAAAGGCACTCTGTGGGTGAAGTATGAGCCAGATTGGGCCAAGGAGAGAGAAAAAATATGCTCCGGACAAGAATATAAACAGAGAGGCTATTTTTTACCTTGACCCTTATCCTAAAAACTTTGTTCAAGGTCACTGAACATTCATTGACCAGTGGCACTCTGTGAGTGAAGTATGAGCCACATTGGACCAAGGGGAGAGAAGATATGCTCCAGACAAGGATTTTTCATATAATTCTGCTATGACCTTGACCTTAGAACTAGAAACATGGTTCAAGGTCACTGCACACCCTTTACCCAAAGACACTCTGAGAATGAAGTATGAGCCAGATTGGGCCAAGGAGAGAGAAGATATGCTCCGGACAAGAGATCTCGGACGGACGGACAGACTGATCACTATAGGGCGCCCGCAGAGCGGGACCCTAATAATGGCCTTGCAGTTAGTATGAAAAACGTCAGTCAGCATTCGACAATGTTATACAATATAATGTATGTACGCAAATATACATAAAATGTCCCTATACAAATTATGATAATAGAGTCTATCCTCAAACATGCCTAATGTGTTCCAAGGATAATCTAAGACAATAGATTTTGCATGCAAGCTTGCTTTAAACATTTTCCTAAGACAATGAAAGACAAAAGAGTTTGACTGCAAACATGCTAAAAAGTTCTTAAAATAATGTAAGACAATAAATTTTGTATGCAAACATTAAAATATTCCAAAGGCATTTTAGAAAATACTGTAGATTCCTAAATATACGCGAGGAATAAATTATCGCGTAATTTCGCGCGAAGCTCTAATGGCGAAATAAAATGACTCATTTTTATTTTTGTGGTACTTAAATGTATGTAAAATCTCTAGATCAATCGTCCACTCGCTAATTATTATGTCACCCCGAACGAAGTCGGGGGACATATTGCTATTGTACGCATGAAAACGATGTCCGGGGATTTTCTCGCAGATGACAGATCGAGGCAATGTTGCTGAAACTTTATTATGTCACCCCGAACGAAGTCGGGGGACATATTGCTATTGTACGCATGAAAACGATGTCGGGGGACTTTCTCGCAGATGGCTGAGGCAATGTTGCTGAAACTTTCCATAAAAGATGATGACCAGCTGTATTTGTGCGGAAAAAATTTTTCAGTTTCAACATGGCTACCGTTGCCATGGAAACGTACGAAAAGTGAAGAATTTTGTCCAGAAGAGTTCTCGCTGATTCCCTAGACAATCGTAATGAATCTTCATAGAAATGATAAATAATAAATGTAGTTGTGCGAATGGCATTTAAAATTTTCAAACCACCTATCGTTGCCATGGAAACAAAAGAAAAGTGAAAAATGCTAAACTTCGATTTTCTCACAAACTGCTCAGGCAATAATTTTGAAACTTGTAAGGATTGTTTCTTACATTCTGTCAAAGTAATTTCTATTTAAAAAAAATAGAATCTTTTGCAAACAGTTGTCTTAGGAATGAAAGAAACAGAAAAAAGTTTAATGTATGCACAGATGTTTTCCGAGGTGGCTTGGACATTTGTGGTGAAAATTTACAGAAATCATGGTTAGACACTCCATTTGTTCAGTCAACATTCAAAAATTTCTAAATACATACCTTTGCCATGGAAACAGAAAAAAGTATTTTTTTTTTTAATTTTCATTTTTCTCCGTAACTACCAAAGCAAAATTTTCGAAACTTTATTGGTTTTATCCTTTCAGTGGTTTCTGCATAAAATGGAATTGATGGTCAGCGGAAGGAAGTCGGACGACTTTTTTTTGTTCACCTTGCTTTTGTCTTGGATCGAGCGTTCTCGTAGGAAGCTTAGAAAATCTTTATGAAACTTCACAGAAATAAAGGTCAACACCTACAGTTGTGCGGATATATATTAAATTTTCAAAGGATGTCTATTTAAAAACTGAAAAATTCATACTTGGAGTTTCTTGATACGAGCGGCCAAAAACGTTGTATAAACGTTTATGCTTGATCTTTTTAAAGCTATAAATTATTCAATTTCTTTGTCTTCCTAATTTCTTTTTTCCTAATATTCCTAGGGTACGTCAAGGCTTATCTATAAAGCTTATATATATTACCAGTTTCTCGATATGATTAAGAAGAAATAAAATATCTTAGTATTTCCAAAAAACGTAGGACCAACGTTTCTTAAACACTAAAAACTTTTCATTTTATTTACATTTAAGTAGTTTACAAGAAATGAAGGTAATACAAATGGAAGGAAGTGTAGAGTTAAAACTTCTCTGGTGAAAGAGACGAGACGGAAAAATTCCTAATGCCATAGAAACGGGTTTCTATTAAATAAAAAGGGCCGTACATCGTATATATCTTGTGGGCGCATTTTTATTTCCCTCTTTTCAAATATAGAAAACCATGTCATAGTTTAACCCCCCCCCCCCCTCTTTTAGAGACAGCTAGGTCAATACTCAGATATAAAATTTACAATTGAAGATCTTAAGAGTTTCATGAATAAAAATCAAGTTCCGCTGATGTGATCTGATATTTTTGGCAGCATTCAGTCTTCTCTGTTTTGTCTATAGAATTAATAATAATTTTATTTACAATTCATTTATCTTTAAAAAGTAGCGATTGTCAGCTGTATTAAATAGCACTTCACAATTTCTTGTTAATACATGACTTGCATATGAATAATTTCATTCAATGATAGTTAGAATAATTAAAATTTAATTTCCATCATTCATTAATTTGAACTTGGATCCGCTCCCGCACGTGCGTGATGGCCTCATCACTACTGTTTAGCACGCCGGGGAATATACGTTCATGATTCTGCTAAACTAAGACAGTTTACACATAGTTTATAATCTCATAAAATATTAGCCCCTGTCCTACGTAAAAATGCCCGATTTAAAAGAGGAAAATTCAGGAATTTTTTTTTGCTTCAGCCATGTTTTGAACCTTGCTTTCTTTAAATTAAGGTCTTTCGTCTTCTACGAACATCCCCATGTTTATTGTTATAGGACTCTGTATTGTCTTTTATTTTGGAGTTCACCTTGATATATTAGTCGACATATGAATGAAAATGAATTTTGTCAATTGATTAAACGTCGGCAATATATCTTAATATATCTTAATGTCAAATTGAAGGTCATAGCAAAAGATTTCTTCTTTTCATTTAGAAGATTTTAGGAATTTGAAAATAGGTCTGCTTATAGTGGGGCACATATTGTTCGAGAACCTGGTATTAAAATACTTCATTGATATTATCATTGAGAAAACCGTTATTTATATCAAATTCAGAGTACTAGCATGTACAATCACTACATTTTAGAGGTTTCCAGAATTTAACAAAGTATGTAGATTTGATGCTATTTATTTTGGTAAAATTTTGTAATTTCTGATTTTCTGTAGAATCCAAAGATTAATTTTTATGAATATGCTGTTTCACATTATTGCTAAAGTTTCTCCTTTTTTCTTGTGTAGCAAAGAAAGAAGCATTGTAAAACATTTACTAGATTCTGCTTTGTATCTTTGTTTGATTAAAATTTTTATGAAGCCTTGGAATCCAGTATAGTTTTCGTAATTGAAATTCACTTGGTGATCATGACTTCTTATCATGAAATATACCAAATGAATAATGACGTAGTAATGCTTCTCTTTTACCTTAAAATGTAGTTAATAATTGATTCACGCACGTTGCTTGTTATTTTTATAAAAAAAGGCTAAGGGCATAATACAATGTTGATTTAACTTGAAAATTAAACTATAATATTTTATTTAGATAAAATATTATCTATGAAAATGCTTTCGCTAATTCCTAAAGAATCAAGCTTAATGGGTATTGCAAAAAATCTCTGACTTTATCATTATCTTGTTTGGTAAAATAGATATTTAAGAATTTTTTGATTGGATACCTCAATTAGATTAATTTAAACTTATGAGAAAAAAATTGATCTTTACAAGAATTTGCCACCGAATAAAGTTTAAGGACCTCCACTATGTCCCTTATTAATTATGATGAACATAACATTACAAATTAACTGCTACAGTTATAGTGTTGTTGTAACTTAACAAATTCTCATTAGTGTCCCACATAACTTTCATGCACTTGTCAATCCTGTCACCCAGTCACACTGCATACTTGCACGGCACTCGCTGACTAATTAATAACCTACAGTTACCATATTGATTTCCGAATACTAGGAAAACAATGGCGGTAATGGTAGCCGGAATCCATGCCACTAATCGATATAGGATGTAGCAAAGCCGTGTGCTCCAGGAATCGTCCCTCCACAGAACAAATCAGCAACAGCTTGGAGAATGACATTCCAGTGCTTCGGAATTTCGAAGACGCCGATCAGATGCAGACAAGTTGCGCAGGTACAGTGTGTTCCAATTATACTTTTTCTCTTAATGTGAACTTTACCGCGTGCGGATGTACTAAAATTGCATCTATGAATTTCCAGGTAATTTGGACATCAATAACTATTTGAAAGGATGTTTATAGTAACTAACCAACCACTTCTAAGTATATAAATTTGCTGAATGTTTTAAAACATTTTTAGTTTCCTAGACTTGCTTGCATCTAGTCATCTATACTTATTGAGCAGCGGGCACCGAGTTTAAATGAGCTGATTCTAGCTGACAGAATGTGTGATTACCCAATGTAAAAATGATTTAAAAATTCAAAAATTGCAAAAATATATTTAAATGTGTAAAATTGCAGAATGAGGTGCACCGACATTTGTATCATAAACTATCATTCGCTATCAGTTCGGTATGTTATGAGGTTTATTGATACACGTAAGAATTTGTTTCAGCACCTAACTGTCAGTACAGGAAGCTACAGTTAGTTGTTACCTTTTTAACTACGCGGGTTAGTACTCAGCACTCATGCATGGCTACAATGAGTGTTCCATGTTCGCAGGTCAAAAACTGGGTAGGGAGGAAACAGAGGCTGACATACGAAGGATAATTATTCTCCTAAATCCCTTTCATTTTGATAAGGTCATTTTTACAATTTATATATACATTTTCCTTTAAATGTAGACTTCTATCAGTTTAGTGGTAACTGTTTTTTTTTTTTAATATTACACGACTATCATGTTTACATTGGTGTACAAGGTTGTACATTGCGTGTAGGTGATAAGTGTCTTAATGTACAAAAATCTTGCAATACTAATAAGGACACTTGCTACAATCAAAACATTAGACGCATGAATTTGTATGCTCTCTGTTTTTCGACATTTTTTGGATGAAATGATAGAAATATCAAATTCCTAAACAATTAAGAAATTGTATATTTTCTATAAATTCTCATTTTTTCGTTCCCCTTATAAATCTATACAAATTTTATCACTTTGTATGACATTATTGAGAAATCTTGATATAATAATAAAACTTTTGGTGGTTAAATTTATTCAGTTTACTTACAGAAACATATTTTAAGTATCTATTTTCATGATTTTTGAAAAAAAAATTGTTTGTTGCAATGACATTAAAAATAATCTTATTCTGTGGACAATATTTTAGAGATTATCAAAAAATAAGAATAGATCTTGATAGCAGATTTTTCTTAGTTACACATACATTATAGAATTCAATGATCTTCACAAATTACTGATATCAATGTTGATATGATTAAAATCAACCACGGCACAATTTTTTGTATACATGGAGTTTTATATCGTAGAAACAATAAAGTGATCTGTGTTCTCCGTGAAGAGACTCCATAAAATCGTGCCGAGTATAAATTTTCCAGTAAAGTAGAAGAAAAAAGATAAAACTATATGACAAAACAGCCGAAATATGCAAAAAAAAATTTTTTAAATACATTTATATACAAAGGTCTTAATTTCTGTCTAGGCATTTTCAATTTCATGTTATTATTTTCGTCATCAGATTTCTACCACTGATCTACACTCTGAAGAGGATATATATTAAAAATCGCCTTGCCCCCCCCCCCCTTAAATTCCCTCGGCCTTTTTGACTTCATAATTTAAAAAGGGGAAAAATATTTTCATTGGTGGTGAAAAGGACGTCTAGTTTGCATTTGAGTCTTAATTATACTGGGAGCTTGTTATTTTCCAGCAATTCGCTGAATATATTTCATATTCCCCCCTCAATTCTAACGAAAAGAAAATTGTCTGATTCGGTTTTAATGGGGAGGCAATGACCGCTGAAGCTAATGCGCGCGTGTGTGTGTGTTCAATGGAAAATTTGGCATAATACATACATTTATATATACATTATGAATAGTATATATAAAAATAAAGGGCTGTGCGCTACTGTGCCGCCACTTAACCTATCAATGAAATAAAAGTGCTTAAGGAATTTCTTGACATTAAACCCCACTGCGGTCCGAGTTAACATCAATTTTCTTTAATATAGTTTACCAATAACCTTGAAATTTTATTCAAGCTTGCCCACAATCTCAATTTCATACCCACACTAGCGATGCTACATCCCCTCCGCAACTTGTTGTGCAAGGGGATGAAAAAAAAATCCAGCATGCAAGAATGCGCGATAATTTACCAGCCTTGTACTTAATTTACTTTCAGGTAAACAATATTCTCGTGTACTTCTGCTGATACGTTATAAGTCAATACACAATCATAAATTCCAAGTCCGTTGTCGTGATATGCCACTATCAAAAGACAAAATCTTTTCCCGCTGTAAACACGATATTATAGAGAGAAAAAAAAATTAAATTTGATTTCTTGTTTTTTTATGGAATTTGTTTTCTACTAACTATGCTACAATACGTTTGCCAGTGGCACAATACTGTTATTATTGGAACATCATATTACATCTTGATTCAATATTGGTGTTAAATTTCATCTCTAGATCGATATGGAATACACAAAGAACGCATGACTCATCATTCTCTTTCCCTTACTGGATTTCACAGATCAATATTCTGAATCATGTTTCAAAATACCGATCTGGGAGAGAAGTAAATGTTCAAAGTAGTTTTGCAAGTAAGACCGAAACCCCCAGGAGGTTCTCTCAGATTCATTAAAATTTTCAAAATGTTTCTTAAAATCAGATTAAGGACAGATGATACGTTCCTCAATAATATATAATTTTTTCTAAGATTTTGTCATTGAAGTATTGCTACTTTAACATGTTTGCTCGCAAAAAATTGAGGTACCTTACCAGGCATTTGTGCAAGATACCAGAGGGTGATGTTTCCTATAAAATCCTTTTGGAAAAAAACTTAATTTGCCAATATCACATTTTTTAGTGTTTCAATTTTTTAAAGACAATCAGAAATCGGTTTAGAAATCAGAAGGTAATTAAAATTTTGAATATTTTCCATATAGTACGAAGATATGCAAAACAGATATTTGAGGAACGTATCGTCTGACCTTAAATGTATATGCTTTTCTTGTTTGTCGCCAAATGTTTTTTCGGATGTCGAATCTCAAGATCGGCACTCCGTGGGGCAAGAATTTTCAATAAGGAATAAAAGGAGCTAGAACAGGTTAGAACTCTCATGAAGGTTTAATTCATGAATTTAAAAAAATGACTATGGTAAACAAAAACAATAAAACATTACATGTAATCATGTATTAATTACAATTTTGCAACGTGCATCATCGGTTTAACAACACAAATTTGAACTACAACAAACTAGATTAAAAAAAAAAGGGGGGTGTTAAGAAAGTTCGTTCCATAATGAAACATTTTTGAAAATTTCAAAATAGTGTTATAACTGAAGAGATTAATTTTCCAGTCTGACAGCACAACAAGATTTCGAACACCCAAGTGACAGAACTGCTCGTCATTTTGTGTGAAAATGTAAGATAGTTTACTTTTGTTTCTTCACAGCATATCTTTCCTAATATAAAACTGATGAGCTAAAGTAAAAGAAAGATCAGTCCCTTTTCAAAAGAATAGGTTTGTCATATTTGAATTCTATACTTACTTGATATATTTTGCATAAGGTATTTGAAAGGATATATTGACCTGTGTGCTCAAGATATTTCACAAATAAGCTGCATCCGTGATATCATCTGTTTCAATACCTGCCCTCCCCTTCTCGTTTCAACAAAACACAGTTAAAACCTTATCAGTAGCAAGAATGGACTCTGTGAACATGAAATATCACAAATTTTAAATATCTTCTCATCGTATTTCTTTTTGAGAATAAAAGAAAAATGTGGAATGAACTTTCCTAACACCCTTTATATAGACAGAATATAATCGTGAAAAAATCATACATAGTAACAAGTTAGAATGAGTGTGGAACATGTTTAGATATAATATTGTATGCGGTTTAATTTTGGAAGAGAAAAAAATAAATTTAAATAAAAAGAATCTGATCCAGTGTCTTATTCTTCACATTGTCAAAGCGTAATGGAGTAAACAATGTACATGTACACAAGACCAGTAGAGAATACTAAACATTCTAATTAAGATCGATCTAATATTGATATATTAAGGATTCCATGATGAAATATTCCGATTAAATACATAATGTTAGAGCTCCAATACCATCTCTTGAGAAAATCTGGTATGCACTGAGAAAGTTTACTAGACTGAAGCTAGCAGCCAATAACAGCAGCCATTAAGCCCGTAGAAGCTAGCAGCCAATAAGGAAATTCATCAAAGGACTGAGAGTACTCTGACGCAATACTGTTTAATGCCTCATTTTCGACAATTGATAATTAATAATTAGATAATTAATGCAACACTTAATTATTTAATAATTCAAACACTTGGAGGCAGTTAAGCTCACCTGCATAAGGAAAATTATGCGGTTTCAAAACAAAAAAAACAAAAAAAAGAGAGAAAATGTCACCATCTTTGACCGCTTAAGAACAAACCAACATTGGAAAAGGTTAAGTACTTCCGGGAGAATCCCTTTTAAACTCTTTTACGGGTCTCAGGAATATGATGGTGCCAAAAGGCTAACCTGAAATTTGCTTACTCCTAATATTTACATTGATAAGGGTTTGAAGGTAATGTAATCTATTTTAAGTTATGATCCTTGAAGTGTGCTTCGAACAATTACTGGCACAAGGTAAAGGATCCACAGGGCTATTATATACGGCCATGAAAATTAGGCTGAAGTGGTACCACCAAGTGGTGCCAAGGGCGGGTTACATATTTCAAGCAGCTATTATACCTCTTATCTTATAAGTGTGTTTTAAATCATTACTGTGGCAAGATAGAAGATTTCTAGGACTATCATTTCCTGCAATCGGTATGAGGCTGTAGTTTCACCACCAAGTGGTGCCAACGGTGGGGAACATATTTCAAGCTTTCATTTTTCAACAATCATTGACCACTAGAAGAAACTAACACTAAACTGGAAAACAGTTAAGGGCCATAATTAGGGAGTATCCCTTGTCAACTTTTTGACAGGTTTCAAT